GCTCTCTAATGAGGGAGAACCCACTAACTCCCGAGACAAGTCAAGTCTAGTTTTGGATTTTCTAATAGTTAGGAAGGTTTTCTACTACATCAGGACCAAATTAGATTCCTATCCATTTTCACCTATTGGTTTGTCATTTTAATTCCTTTCTTGGTCAACCTCAATAATTCTAGTTATGAAATACAGCATGAATTACCAGATCTTTACCAGGACTTACATTTTATTAATTCCAAGAAAATGAAGTTATAGCTAATAAATCAAGTATTTGCCTTTTCTTAACTAGAGACTAAATATTTTTGTTCTTTTCAGTACTTTCACAATAATCAAACAGCAAAGATTTAATAAGTGGTTACTGTGTGCCAATGACTTTGCTAAAGACATGTCAACCTTGACTAAATGACCAAGGAGCCACAGCAGCTTTGTAACTGCTGTTAATGCTAAAAAAAAAATAAATAAATAAAAAATAAAATACCAGAGAGCTTACATAGGTTATCAAAGCCACAGTTAACTCTAAAAAATAAAATAAAACAAAATAAAACAAAAGAGTTAGCTTTCTTTATTCTGTTGGTGGAGAGAAACTAGCCACATATGTGCCAGGGCCCCCTCTAGTAGGAGACTCACTTCAGTGTGGACAAATCTCAGTATATATACTAGTGGCTATGCAGTGAGCTGTGGCCCTGACAATGAGGGGTAACAGTAACAGTGAGACAAGTTTGATTCGTAGCAAGACTTCATGACTGAAACACAGGTACTACAGTTGCCCGTCGGATCTCAAGGATCACCTGATGCTGGTGTGAAACAATTCTGAGATTTTGTTGTGGCAGAGTTCATCCAGAGGGTGAGCACAAAGGATTGTTATTATGCCAGGCTCAGGGCACAGTTTTCCTGCTGGGCTCTGGAAAACAGGGTATCTCCTAATAGTAAAAAGAGAAAGGAGTAGTCTTGGCATGGGGATCCTGACAGATATAAGCACAAAGAAGGAAACAATCTCTTCTTGCAAGGAGTTTACATTCTAATGGGGGTGACATTGAGTACAAATATAAGTACATACAGAATAAATATGAAGATATTAAATCTCAGACAAGCCATCTACAATTCGTTTCATGTCCCAGCATGGTATGGTGGAAAATGTGCTGGATTAGAAATCACAGGATCCAGGTTCAAATTCCACCTTGGAGCAAACCAATTAAGCTCTCTGGGCCTCAGTTTCTTCCTCTGTAAAATGATGAGATTGAAATAGATTGACAGCCCCTTAAGGTTGCTTCCCAGCTTTAAATCTGTGATTCCTATGAAGAACAAATACAAAATAATTAAATACAGGAGAGTAGGTTTTTTTCTTAAGTATTTATTGAACTGAAATGAATTTTTATTACCATGTATGTTCTTACTATGTTGAGACAGAATTTGGGGGAAAAAAAACAAAATAAACACCTGAAATTGCTCCTGCATCAAGGTGGGTTCTTTATTTATTTGATTGCTTTACTCATTCATTCACAGCAGTATGTTCAGATTACTCTATACAAAGCACTCTGTTATGAGGTGAGTGAGACACACGTGTTAAGAACTGACTTTTATAACAGTAGGGCAGCTATATGGCACAGCAGAGTGCTGGGCCTGAAGCCAGGAAGACCTAAGTTCAATTCTAGCCTCAAACACATACAAGCTATGTAACCCTTTGCAAGTCAACTTAACCCTGTTTGCCTCAGTTTCTTTGTCTGTAAAATAATCTGTAAAACCACTCCAGTATCTTTGCCAAGAAAGCCCCAAAAGGGGTTATGAAGAGTCACACACTATCGAAAATGACCAAATACAAATAACACTTAGTTTTGCAAAGAATTTTGCATCCATCATTTCTTTTATTCTCATAGCAACCCCAGGAGGGAGTTATAACTATTTTTGTGTACATTTTACAGATGAGAAAATCAATCAATAAGCATTTACTAAGTGTCTTCTGTGTGTTAAGCACTGTGCTAGGCACTGAGGAAATAAGTACAAACAAAAAGAAACAATTCCTACTCTCAAATAACTTAGTTCCTAATGAAGGAGATGAATAACTAATTACATACAGAATAAATGTAAAGAGAAAAAATACAAATAAATGCGAAGTAGTTAAATACAAGAGACTTAGTCAAAAATAATAGTTAAAAATGAGGTTTAGAGAAGTTCAATGACAGGTGCAAGACTACAGAACTAGTAGACTGGCAGAGATTGAAATTGTTAATCTACTGAATCCAATGCACTTGCATCAAGGCTTTCTCGGTCCTACTCCTATTAGGGCTCACAGCCCGAGAGAGGCAGTAAGACACTCACCTCAAAAACCATAATGCATACAAAACAATAAAGTCCTTCCCCAATTATTTCTCAGCAAATCCCATGGGTATTGATTCACTGAATTCCTTATTTAGCTCTTCAATATTTCCCCCAAAGAGGATGAAATTTGACCATGGTATTACCACCAGCAGTGCAGAAACTTGTACCTCATCCAAAAGCTCTGTACTGATATGAACTGGGTTCAATCTTGGAGAGGAGTCAGGTTTTTCTTTTCTCTATGGCTTATTGTGACCACCCCAGTGTTCTGGGGAAAATCTCCTAAACAGTGCTTAAGGGGGCAGCTAGGTGGCGCAGTGGATAGAGCACTGGTCCTAGAGTCAGGAGGACCTGAGTTCAAATATGGCCTCAGACACTTGACACTTACTAGCTGTGTGATCCCTGGGCAAGTCACTTAACCCCAACTGACTCACAAAAAACCCAAACCAAAACACAAAACAAACAATGCTTAGGTGTGGCTAATGTTTAAGATATCCCCTAAAGTTATTAACCTTTTTGATGAGTACTAACATATAAAGTAGATATCAGGCATAGGACAGCTACTTATTTCATCTGACATACACACAATGCTTAAAAACAGATTTGTAAGCACATATCAACAAATACTTAGACCATAAAAGAGTACCGATAATACTTTGCCGAGAAGTAAACACAGGTTTGTCGGGCTATAGAACAAGTACAACACTTTCACATCTGACTTGCACTATCTGTGATACTCACAATTTTGAATCTCCTTGTAAGTCAGTCCACGGCTCTAGCAAACTCTTTCCAGTTTCTAGTGGTGGAGGGGTATCTTATTATCTGGGATTCCGTGTTATTGTAGGCAGCACTTCTCACTGGGGAACCAACCATAAATCAGCAACCTAGAAGTTCTCGAATGTACAAGAAAGGTGCCAGACTATAAAGATCGGTTTCCAAATTGTTGTTCAGTCTCCTGTGCTTAGGAAAGGAAAACAACAACAACAACAACAACAACAACAACAACTACTACTACTACTACTACTACAACAACAAAAAACAGAAGAGGCAACCAGGGATTGGAAGTCCAGTCTCAGGCTTGTGTAGCCAAGCACCTTTCCTTGCTTCCATATGTTCATACCAATGCTAGCGCTAGGGGCAGGGTAGAGAGAAATTCCCCACTCCTCACTGGACGTCAGTGGGAAAGGTGGTGGAACTATACACTTCCAAGTGTATATCTCCATTCAGTTGTTCCAAGCTGGGTCTGACTCAGTCTCCTGATAGTTTAGATTTGATATTGGAACAAAATGAGATGAGTAAGTCATTCAGTAGTCAACAAAAGGAGACTTACCTATCCATAGCAGGAGGATGGTCAATAAAGATGCATTGAGGGTACCTGGGTTGAGTCAAGTGAATGAAGTTTCCTGACCTCAGTTGCCCATCATGGTCCACCAACCAACAATCAGGGAGAACTTAGAGCTCCTTGTGGTTGTTTTCTATGCAGGCAACCAAAAAATGATGTCAGCAACCTGAGCCTTAAGTCCTCCCAGCCAATCAAGTTTTGACAATGGTTTCAGTACTTTTTAATGGAAATATGATGTCAACTTGCACAGGGGAATGGGGAATTTTAAACTATTGTTCTCACCATAGTTGTCATGTCATTTAACATCATTAGCATGTTAAGGAAAATGAACAATATCTCTGTCTCCACCGATGAGATTAAACCATGCACCCTTGTTTAATGCACAGTGGTATAGTATCTCTGTTTCTTGGAATTTGTACACAGCCTCAAGGGAAAGCCATAGCTATGGCCTTATTGGCCACTGTGTCTCTGTATATAGATATGAATAGCATGTCTTTGGCCAAATTCAAAGAGCTCCACTTTTTAGTACATTTTCAAGGAGCCTGATAATGGTCCCCAAGGTGACATGGCAGCCCATTGTGAAAAGGAATAGATAAAAAAGAAAATTCTATCCTTTTAACACATGTAATTTGAACCCCATTGAAGGCTCAATTAGATTTTCATAGATGACTGTGAGAAGTGATGCCACTTTTAGTGGGGTCAGCTTCCCCCCCCCCCTTAATAGCGTGAGAGGAGACAGGTTAGACTTTACATATGGGCCTTGGGTTTTATAGTGAAGTCTTATTTGGAAGTACCAACACGGAGGGAGACATGGCTCTAAGAGACTCGATCTCTTGCTGTTCTAATTTAGTCACCCTTTGGAAAACAATCTGCACTAAATGTCATTTCCCAGAGCTACTTGAAAAGTAAAGTAGACAAATTGAGCAGCCTAAAGAATGCCACTTCAATAATCAATTATTTTCAATTACTTGTGACCTCTGAACACTTTGCCATGAAGGAAAGTATCTGTGGTTGTTGATTTTGTAGAGAATAGAGGAGGTACTGGGAATAAAGTTCTTTCTTGTAAAATATGCATTTTGATATTTTAGTATTCATGCACATTTTATAATTATCAGAATCCACATATATGAAGGGACATTTGTATCTTGCATAGGACTATATTACATATTTATATACATATACATATGTATTAAACCTCCTTAGTATGTGATTTAATTTTTATAGACCTTATAATGTGATGACTCTCATGCATCCTTCCTTTAATGTGTATAAAGTAAAAATCCACATTTCTGCATCATCATGTATCTTTGCTGCATCTAATTAACATCAATTTTTTTTTTGGACTACACAGAGCTGGCTATTTGCCTCAGAATATTCCCCTGGAGATTATCAGATACCTTTCTGAGGAGAAGGATTTTCTTCCGTGGCATGCTGCCAGCCGGGCCCTTTATCCGCTAGATAAATTACTGGACCGAATGGAGAACTACAATGTCTTCAATGTAAAAGATATATTTCTTTCGTCTTCAATTCTCAAAAGATGTGCTGGTCTATCATCATATACTATTGTGCAACTGATTCAAAGTTATTTATTATCTCCCTAATTGTTTCTCTTGTTAATTTTGTCATGTGTTCCTGTGGGTATATGGTTTCTAATATTTGAAGAAGAAAATTTAAGACAAGCTTAATTTGTCCTACCCTGAAAGTATGTAACTTTAATGTTATAGAATTAAAAAAAAAATACAGACAAACAACCTAAATCCTCCTAGTCCAAAACTTGTTTCCCTCTAGTTATAGGGCTCTTCACTCACCAAGGACTGAAATAACCCAGGCAGAGGGATTCTAAAGATCTTAACAGGATACCGACAATTGCAGTAAAGATTGTTAGTCATTATTTTTATCCAAAAGGGCGTAGTGAATTCAATTCACTTCCTTAATTAACAAGGATAAGATCAACATTGAAGCAAAAGCCCATTCATAATTGGGTCCAAGGGGATAACAGTGTAGCAAACAATAGATAATCCAAATAGACAGGAAAGCATGACAAACATTCCAAAATATACTACCTGAGCAATCTTACCTTGACTAGAAGCTGGTCGGGAAACCAAAATATTACTGTTGGCATTAGCTAATGGGGAAATTTCATGACCATTTCAAATTAGATTAGTACTGAGTACTGCTAATGAGCATTTGATATCTCATTTTCTCATTACCAATCTAGTTTTGGTGCATAGGTTTAAGTGCATTTGCATACAGTGTTAACTTTACACACTATTTTCTTTCCTATGTTCATTTTTAAGAGCCCAACCAGTATCCCATAAAATAACCCTCTTTCCTATAACATACTGACTATCCTTTTAATTAACTTACAGTCTTAGTATTGTTTAAAACTAGATGACTATAGCATAAAATTCCTTAAAGGAGGCAACTCAATTCCCAGATTGTCATTAGAGTTGCTCTTTTTTCATGCATAGCCTGCCTACACAGATGCAATTCAGTTTTAATAAATAAAAATGGTGACATTTGGGGGTAGACAGTTTTACCGCTACAACTTCTATCTAAGGCCTCACAACACACATGCAAAGAAATGTGTCATTTTAGTGATGGCATAATTTTCACCTGCTGGAAGAAGACACATTGCATTTCTCCTTTTCTTCCAGACACACAAACATGTGTGCATGGAACTTATGGAAACGTAAGATTTATTTGATCTGTATATATTTGTCCTTTAAGATGGTATATCATGTCAGACACTTCATTTTCAGTAGCAGTTAAAAAAAATTGCTTGGGCTACCATTTCAGTGCTCTTCTTCCTGCCTGAAATTAAAGGAAGTACATTCAAGTAAAGAAGAGCATGTCTTACGCTGCTACTGATGTTTAAATGTACCAGGAACTGAATGGATATTAACTATGAACTCCTAATGAATGCTCTCTGTATGTTATGATAAATAGCACTGTTAGGTCATTGGGTGCACTTGTGTAGCCATTTTTCTCTCTATGTCCTTGTCATTAAATGTATCTATGCTTTTTCCATAATTTACATATAAGAGCTACGTGTGTGCATATGCATGCTCCTACACAGATGCATGCTAAACAGCCTCTTTACAGAATGTTCATTAGAACACATTTCTCAGAAATTCATTGCGAAGTCAAGACTATGCTTTACTTTTCAGTATTATCTTAACTTTTTCTATTTTAGAATGGAGTAGAGTGGCTTGCATACTATAAATGCTTAATAAATGTTGCATTTCTTGAATTGAAATACTCATCTCATAGGATATTACCATGTCTATGGGTAGACTGATGTTTGTAAATAAGCACCTTTGCAATGTGAGACATTTAGTTTTAAATGCTCAGTTTTAGTGAATTAAAATCTTAACACTGACACTAACTTTCTTTTTCCCCTCCCCATTTAGGAATACATTTTAAAACAAGTTGCAGCGATGTACATCAAACTTGGATGGCCAACAAATAATTTTAATGGATCCCTTGTTCAGGCATCTTACCAACATGAGTACTCCTTTGTTTTCTTGTTTCTATCTCTAGCCCCCAAAATTGTAGTAAAAAAAAAATAGTACCAATACTATTGTGACTTTGGCAGCATGAGATAGTCTTACTTTCATTTCTCATCTCTCATTTTGCTCTCTGGGGAGGACTGCTGCTGTATTAACATAGTTTCCTTTACCTTGTGTTTGAGAACAAAGATATTTTTCTTCCTATGCTATAGTTTAAGTTCTATTTCCAGTGGTGATATTGGGATCTGAACCCATGCCCTTTTTTGTAGTAATGTTCACACAGCAGATATGTCCCATATTTAGTTAGTCTATGTGCTGCTTAATTGGTTATTTAACCCCATAGAATTATAGAGTCTAGTTTAATTATGTTCTGATATACTGTTAGTGAGGATATTTACTGTCTTCCTAAGAATGGTGATGTAGAGGGATGGTACTGCCTTTTCATTTTTTTAAAAAAAATTCTTTTCTTTTGCTTTGATAATACCCAGAGAGTTACGGCGAGAAGTTATAATGCTGGCATGCAGTTTTGGTAACAAACACTGTCACCAGCAGGCTTCAACACTTATTTCAGACTGGATTTCCAGCAATAGGAACCGGTGAGTTGAACAAGACGTATATTTCCACAAATTTTAGCCCTCTTGCAGATTCTGATGAGTAGATAAATAGATAGCTATAGAGACATGGGGAAATATATATATATAGATAGATGTCTATATCTCTATCCCGTTCACCGACTGTTAAAATAAACCAAGAATCCATTTCAAAATTCATTTCAGCTACATGTTATTGTTGTACGTACTAAACAATTCAGTGTTTAAAAAAAATTAAAGAGGAAGTTGCAAAGTTGCAAAAATTTAGACTTAAAATAAAGATGAACTTCCAAAATAACTTAAGCTATCTAAAAGTGGAATAGACTCCTTTAGGAGGGTAATGGGTTCCTCTTGAAACATATTCTTATTCATGCTTAGTGCATATTAAGTGCTTAATAAATGTTCCTCCCTCCCTCCCTTCTTCCTCCCTCCCTTCCTTCCTTCCTTCCTTCCTTCCTTCCTTCCTTCCTTCCTTCCTTCCTTCCTTCCTTCCTTCCTTCCTTCTGACATTGGCATAGATGACTTCTTAGGTCCTTTCTAACTGAGATTCTGTGAAGCAGTAATCAAAATGAACAGGTCTGAAAAAGACATTGGATTTTTTTTTTAAATGGTACCTACTATATACCATTGTAAGGCTTTATTTTATTTTATTATTTTATTTTATGTTTTCATCTTTCACACAGTTTAATAATTTGGCAAGCATTTGTTAGGTGCCTGCTAGTTGCCAGGGTTTGTGTTAGGCATGGGAGATACAAAACCAAAGTGAAATGGCTCCTGACCTTAAGGAACTTATATTCTACAGGGGGAAATAACAGGTGTAGAGGTAAGTAGATATATGATTTATGCAAAATAAGTAAGAAGTACTTGGGAAGCTCTAACAGCTACAAGAATCAGGAAAGGCCTATTTAAATGGAGACACCTGTGTGGATCCTTGAAGGGAGCTAGGAGTTCAAAGCTTGGGGAAAATTCATGTAAAGTGGTGGTGGGAAATGGAATTGCTTTGCTGGAATTCATAGTTTTAGGAGACTAATGTGAAATGAAGGTTGTTTAAAGCTTGATTTAATAAATATTAACTAAATACAACTTATGGATTTGGTTTCTATATGATAGAAAGTATGTCCATGAAGGAAATAGGGCAACAATGAATTTTTCTGCTATGTAAGCAGACGTTTCATTGTGATGAACATTTTCAATTTGGTAGTGTTGGAGGGAATTCAAGTTAGTTATGTAATTCAGAATTTAAAATAATTCATGTGGTTGTAAATGTGTTGGATATAATAGAAAGTATATGAAGTGTTGATTTTTTTGGCTTTTCCTTTCCTAGACTTTGGGCTTCTATTATCTGAAAGTTTCCCTACTGGCTTTTCATTCTTCTTGTTTCAGTGATATCAGGTGAACAAAATAACTTAAGGCTACAGAATTAGAAAAATATTATTAGGATGGACCCTATTATAAAAGAATAAGTTTTCAGTGTTTTGTGAATCTATTGGTCCATTTGAGGTATTCATCTCATGGTAAATTGACACACTTTCCAAAGGAAAACAGGAATTGCATTGAATGTATAAATGGCCACAGATCATAAATACAGGGCTGAAAGGGCCCTTAACAAATCATTTAGTCCAAATACTTCATTTTGCAAAGAGTAAACTCAGACTCAGAGAGGTTAATTTACTTGCCTAAGATCACTAAAGGTAATAACTTCTTTTCTTTTCCTTTATTCTTTTCTTTCTTTCTTTCTCTTTCTTTGTTTCTTTGTTTCTTTGTTTCTTCTTTCTTTTTCTTCCTTCCTTCCTTCCTTACTTCCATCCTTCCTTCCTTTCTTCCTTCCTTCCTTCCTTCCTTCCTTCCTTCCTTCCTTCCTTCCTTCCTTCCTTCCTTCCTCTCTCTCTCTCTCTCTCTCTTTCTTTCTTTCTTTCTTTCTTTCTTTCTTTCTTTCTTTCTTTCTTTCTTTCTTTCTTTCTTTCTTTCTTTCTTTCTTTCACATTCCTGAGAGCTCTGTCATATTAAGATTGGGGAGATGTGGTCAGGGAAGGTGGCAATTACAAAATGACATTGCACTGATCTATAGTCACGAGTTGGGGCTCATTTTGTCAAATTCTTAGCCAACTTTTTAAAAATAATATACAAGGAAAAAAAGTTCCCTTGAGGTATCTGCAATTGAAATGAATCTGGCTTCCCCTGCTCAGACTTTGGCAAGTCTGAGATTTCAGCGGGAATGGGAAACTCCGGGGGAGGAAAAGCCCCCTTCCAGTGAGGATCAAAATTCTATGAGAATCATTGGGAAATTAAATGACTTGCCCAAGGCCCTACACTCCCTTCTAGGTTGCTTAGCTAGCTTTTAAGGAGGTACTCACTTTGTTCAAGGGACATAACATAAACCCATTCCTAGATTTTGAAAGACATTGCATTCCTTTGAGGAACCCTTGACTACCTGGGCTTTTCCTTGATGTTCAGGAATGGTTTCTAACCCATCAGAATAAAAGATTAAACCTATAATCTGTTTTCTAAGACATTTTATATAATTTACTATATAGTCATTATTTAATCTACAAAGTAATAGCCACTAAATGTTATTCACAACTGACTAAATACGATAATATGGCTTTATAAATTCTCTTAGAAACTCATGAAACCACTGGGTTGGAAGGGGTACTTGGGATCACTCATTTCTCCTTGGTACTTAGACCACCACTCTAATCCAAAAAGTATGTACTGTATGAATTCTTTCACAATGCCTATTAGTTATCTCGTCCCTGCTTGAACATATCTACTGATAGGCACTCTATGACCTTGTAAGGAAGCCATTCCATGACTACACATGTATAACTTGTATCGAGTTGCTTGCTTTTTCAATGAGGGTGAGTGGGGAGGGAAGAAGGGAGAAAATTTGGAACCCAAAGTTTTAAAAACACATGTTAAAAAAATTGTTTTCACATACAAATGGGAAATAAGAAATACAGGAAATGGGGTATAGAAATCTATCCTACCCTACAGGACAATAGAAGGGGAAGGGGATGAGAGAAAGGGGAGGAGAGATAGAAGGGAGGGCAGATTAGGGGAAGGGGTATACAGAATGCATGCCATCTTGGGGTGGGGGAAGGGATGAGATGGGGAGAAAATTTGGAACTCAAAATCTTGTGGAAGTGAATGTTGAAAACTAAAAAAAAAATTAATTAAAAAGAAAAAAAAAGGAAGTCATTTCATTTTGAGGAAACTCTGTTGGTAATTTCTTCCTAGCATTCAGCTTAAATCTTCCTCCCTGTATTGTTCATCCAAAGGACATGAGAGGAATTCTCTGGGTTTATAACTCAGCCTGCATTTATCTTAGTACAATGCAAAGTATAGTAATTATTTAATAGAGGTGCTTTTGAGATTATGATCAAAATATAAATTATCCATACCAAGGGCATAACATGTTGTGTTCATTGATTCAGTCAATAAATGAGTGCTAACTTAAAGATTATCAACACATCATAGCTGTTCAGTGAATACTGTTGATCCTCTTCCTTATATTCCCCAAGCAACAAGGAGTGACACACATACACACATATATAGCATGTGTGTATATGTCTTATATATATCTATATGTACAAATATAAAATGTTCTCTTTGCCACTACTGGTATGCACTGGACATTTGGACTGGTCAGGTAAAGAATCACTAAACTATATATTATATTTAGGCAGAGGATCAGACCTTCTACTTGAAAGGATACTGAACCAGAATCTACTCCCCCTTTATCTCAGTGTCCATGAATGCCACCATGAAAAGTGAAGGAGAGAAGGCAATTTGGTGTATATCCTAACCACAATGAAAATCTACAGCATATATAATATGCACTTAGATAATTAAAAGAAGATCATAGCTACTAGTGGCCATTTAGAATTGTACCTTTTACCAAAGATCTCATTAAAAAAAATAGACTGAATACCACCTTTTTATAATCTGTTCCAATCTCTCAGATCCCCAGGCAGCATCTTACAGTATATCCCATTAAGTTGTGGATATTTTTCTCTGGTTCCAAGCTAAGAGAAAATGGAAATCATCCAGTTTTCATTATCCATAAAATCATCCTTCATTTATGTGAAGACAGCAATTAAATCACCCATCATACTTCTCTTCTCCAGGCTAAATGTTACCAATTCATTTAACTTTTTCAAAGTTATAATTTTTGCAAATGCCTTAAAAATCATTGCAACATTCCTTTTGACCTAAAAATTTTTCATGGCCCTTTTCCATCATTAATCAATTTCCTCTCTCCTTCTAATTCTTATCATCTCTTTGTACTAGCCCTCATACCTTCTAGCTTAAAAAAAATCCACAAATATCTACCTAAAACCAATAAAATAAGGATTGTTTATACTATATAGTTTTATGTAAATTTGACAAAAATTAAATTGAGCAATTGACAAAAGGATTTCATTTCCTCACAACTCATGGTGCAATTTCCTTTGGGCTTACAAATCCTGGCAAAGATTGTATTAACCTTTGAGGAAGCCATCTGACAATCTTGAGTCATATTAAACATGCAGTCCACTGAAGTTTCTTAGGATTTTTCAAATTAAATGCTACCAGGTCAAATCTTGTAAGACTTTTCCAGAGTTGGGAAAGTAGTTTCTGAACCGTGATATGGTAGAGATGCAGCCATGTGCTGTCTCAGGCTTTTCTCATCACAAAGTTAATGTCATTAGATTCAGTTCAAGTTATTAAGTACTTGCTACAAAGTTTAAAAACAATGCAGTCTCTGCCTTTAAAGAGAGTACAATCTAAAATATACACAAATAAATATGCTACATAGTAGAATGTATCAAAAGCCAGGGAGAAACATAAAGTGCTATACAAATTTGGGCAGGGAAAGATTATTTTCAAGGTGGGAGTATCTGAGAAGATAATTGTGGAGAATCTGGCACCTGAACTGGGTCTTGAATCAATCAGTAAACATTTACTAGGTCTCTAATGCTCTTACTGAAACAAAAGATTGTAACAGGTCAAATTAAGAGGGAGGA